GAGCCATTGAACGTTTGAACTTGAACAAACACCTAAATCTCTTGACTTTTCATGTTCCCCATCTACAAGATGGGAAAGTTACTCTACTCCAAGGCTTGCTGTGAAGATTTGATGAGTCATGTGGACCAGATTCCTAGCCCTGAGCTTGGCCTATAGTAAGTGTTCAGTATATGAGAGATGTTGCTTCCATTGCTATCATTAACCTCATGCATAGTTCTTGGAATAGAAGTCTGAGCCTGCCCGTATAAAAGACGAGGAAGGGTGTGCAGGGGCCGGCTCAGACGGGGTGCGGGCAGACTGAGGAAGCTCCTTGGGCCACGTGGTAAGTGGCCTTGTAGGTGCCACTGAGGAGCTGGGGGGCTTGGTCTGGTCAGTGGCAGAACATCTGTGTTTGTCTCCTTTTTTTTTTTCCCCCAACTGTGGCACAACATACAATTTACCATCTTAAAAAAAAAAAGATTAATTTTATTTGTTAGAGAGGGAGAGAGAGAGCATAAGCTCTACAGGGGGGAGAGGCAGAGGAAGAGAGAAACACAAGCAGACTCTGAGCTGAGTGAAGAACCCGATGCAGGGCTCGATCTCACGACCCTGAGATCATGACCTGAGATGAAACCAAGCGTCGGACGCTCAACCGACTGCACCACCCAGGTGCCCCACAATTTACCATCTTTTAAAAAATTTTTTAAATTTGGGATGCCTGGGTGGCTCAGTCAGTTAAGCGTCTGCCTTCAGCTCAGGTCATGATCCCGGGGTCCTGGGATCCAGTCCCGCATCGGGCTCCCTGCTTGGTGGGGAGTCTGCTTCTCCCTCTGCCTCTGCCTCTCTCTCTCTCTCTGTCTCTCATGAATAAATAAATAAAATCTTTAAAAACATTTTTTTTTTTTAAATTTGACTCTGGTTGGTTAAACTTTACCATCTTAACTATTTTTATGGCTCAGTGGCGTTTGAGTTTCTCAGTTTGGGACAACCATCACCACCATCCATCTCCAGAACTCTTCATCTTGCAAAACCGAAACTCTGTGCCCATTAAATAATAGCCCCCCACCCCCCCATCCCCACATCTGTGTGTTGGAGTTCTTTTTTTTTTTTTTTAAGATTTTATTTATTCATTCATGAGAGACAGAGGGAGAGAGAGAGAGAGAGAGGGAGAAGCAGAGGGAGAAGCAGGCTCCCAAGGAGCAGGGAGCCCGATGTAGGACTCAATCCCAGGACCCTGGGATCATGACCTGAGCCGAAGGCAGACGCTTAATGGACTGAGCCACCCAGGCGCCCCAGTTTGTAATGGCTCTTTGACCCCCACCCCTTCCTTACCATATTTCCCTGTGAACACTGATGCTGCATTTGGTAGCATGCTCCCTCCCGCCCCCCTTCATGCTGACCCGCACCTATAGGAGAAGAAGATGTACATGGGTGCAACAGGTATCTTCGGCCTCACCCTGAAATGCACGGAAGACATTCATTCTTTTCCGAGGGAGCCTGTGTATAGGATGGAGACTGAGCCAGCGGTCTGGAGGCTCTCCCCAGGCCTGTGTTTGCCAGGCCATGTGTGTTGAGGGTAGCTTCCAGGCCTCATCTCTCCGGATGGAGCCTGGCTCATTCCAAGGCTCCTTGCCTGATGAAAGAAAGGGCAAGTTGCCCCCCTGCGGTTTCTAGAAGGAGCCATTCCATGTTGAAGCACAATTCAGCAACCAGACTTTATCTTCCATAGCTCCGTGGGTTGCTTGGATATAGGAGGATATATATGAAGTCTAAGACAAAGGCCTGTTCACAAGATGCTCAAAGTCTGAGCTTTCAGCCCAGTTACTCCAGACAAAAACCCAGGCATTAGACTCGACTCCTCTCTTTCTGCCACCCCCATTGTTCCTGTGATGGTCCTTCCAATGTAGATCCTGAACCTTTCCTCTTGTCTCCACCTGTAAACCTGCTCCCCTCATCTAGAACTTCCGTATCTCCTGCACAGCCTCCTGAGAAGCCCTCCCCACGGGTCTCCTTGCTTCCCGTGGTCCACGCTCCACGCTGCAGCCCTGGTGATTTTCATGAACTCTCATCACATCACTCCTCTGCTTAAAACCCTAGAATTGCTTCTGTGATGGTTGGATTAAAATCCAAACTGCGGAGCACCTGGGTGGCTCAGTCGGTTAAGCGGCTGCCTTCGGCTCAGGTCATGATCCCAGGATCCTGGGATCGAGCCCTGCATCGGGCTCCCCGCTCTGCAGGGAGCCTGCTTCTCCCTCTCCCTCTGCCTGCTTCTCTGCCTACTTGTGCTCTCTATCTCTCTGTCAAATAAATAAATAAAATCTTTAAAAAAAAAATCCGAACGATGCCCTTTGACCTGTATGATTTGGCTCCTGCCTCCCTCTTGGATCTCTGGGTGTACTGATCTTGCCTTCCTTCATCGAAGGCCAGCTTTTGCACTGATCTTCCTCCTCCTGGAAGGAAGAGTCTTCTCCTACAGGTCCCTGTGGCTCCTTTGGGTTAGTCGGGTCCCACACTGACCCTTAAGCTCTTTGGTAAGGCCCTCCTGGACCATCCAGGGGCTCTCTGGCACATCATGCTGTTTTATTTTTCCTGCATAATATTATAATGCATTGTTTCATTTGTTTGCTGGGTTTTATTATTTATTGGAATGGGAGTCCCGGGAGCACAGGGACCAGAACAGTGCCTGGCTCTAAGTAACTGCTCATTAGCTACGCACTGAATGAATGAATGGGAGTTGGGGCTGGACTCCTAAGGGTGGGCCGTCTTCCAGCATGAGGGAATGAAATAGACAAAGGTGTGAGGCCAGGAGTAAGCACAGTTTGTCCTGGGAGTGGCCGGCTCAGCTCCAGCGGAGGACGAGTTGGGTCCTAGTGGGAAAGGAGGTTGGGGACACACAGGCTGGGTCTAGATTGTGGAATGTCCCGAAGGAAAGACAAAAGAATCAGGACTCCATCCTGCAGGCTAACAGGAAGCCATTGAAGACCTATGAGCTGAGGAGTGGCCTAATTAAAACTGTATCTTGAGAAAATTAATCCAGAGCCTGCTCAGAGCCAGCTGTATAATTTGCAGGACCCAGTGCACAACCAAGATGTGGGATCCCTTGTTCAAAAAGCAGGGGGAAAAGGGCCAGTCACGGCACCAAAAAAGAAAATGTTTTCCTTTTCTTCTGGCGTTCCTTCCTCAAATTCTCATGGGACTTTTTGCTATTTAACGTTGTTTGAAATAAAGAAAAACTACCATTTTTCTACCTTCAGCTTTCTGATGAGCACAGAAGGACTGAAAGGAAAAGGAATTATGGGCAACTCAGCGCTCCCCTTCCTTCCAGGTCATCCTTGCTAGCAGAATTGGTTGGCTCAGTCAGGAAGTAGCTTGCACGACAGAGAAAGGGTAGAATAAGACACCTCAATCACCCACGTCTTCTAGAACACCATTGCCTTCTTTCTGTGTTCCAAGCAAGGTCTGCTTCGAACATAAAGTGTGGCCTCTCAGTGATCAGCACCCCGAGTGGTTCAGGTGTATGCATAACACGCTTACCTCATCCCCGCTTTGAATCTCACTGAGCTCCCGTGTGTGGTGGGTCTGTGCCCAGGGAGCTTCACGAATGGCATGTTACCTGCATCTCCTCTGCTCCCCACACGCACACTCCATTGTCCCATTGGACTTCACTTGCAAATTACAAGTTCAAAGATAAAATTATGAAGAGTTACAAGATAGTGACAGCAGAGCACTAAACCAAGCGCAAGGCTATTCTGAGCACCAGCCTTGTTTGAGCAGATCCCAAGTTCATGAAGCTAGGCTGGCGGGGGGGGGGGGGGAGGTGGGGGAGAGCATTCGAGGGGGAGGTTGACAGTCGGAATAGGCATTGTTGAGGACTAGAGCCAAGGATATTGGGTGATAGTTGAAAGGGGAAGAAACACTTCTCCAAGGGAAAGTGACAAGATTTGAAGACAGATGAAAAGTAACAGATAATGATTCTTAAGTCGAGGTCTCTAGAGGCTCCCGTACCCCCCTACTAGTCTGTGGGTCTCTTGAGCCCCAGGAGAACCATGACCTTGCGTCCCCAGGGCTAGAGTTGCATAAGGTCTCTTGTAGGTACTCAATAAATGTTTGTCGATCCAAATGGGCAAATGGGGAAGGGGGAGTTCAGATACGGGGATGCGGGTGGGGAGACACACCACCTGAGCACACCTGGGTCCAGGACTGGGGTCTCAGGGCAATGCTAGGGCCCGGGAATGGGAATGTGGTGTCGGGAGGGCTTCGCCCAGAGAGTGGGTGGGGACATGGGAAAGCTTCTAGGCTTGGAGAGGACCAGGGGCTGTGGAACTTGTGAAGGAGGTATGGGGGTGCTGGGTGGGTGGTAGCTGCTCCCCAAGGGGGATTTCCGTCCTGTGGTGACCCTCTGTCCATCTCTGTGTGGCCTGACCTAGCCCTAGTGCCTACTGTTTGTCCTGGTCTCTGGCGCTTTCTCTATTCCTCTCACATTTGGCCCTGTCCGTCTCCGGATCTTAGTCTCCAACGGCCGGCCTGGGGCCCCTTCTCAGCACAGAACGGCTTCCATCTCCAGCTCTGCGTCTCTCCGGGGTTATCTTTCCCTCAACTCCGCCCCGACACGCCCTCCATCCCCTCCATCCACCTGATCCCGTCCAGTACCTGGGGTGGGGGGAGGGGAGAGACCTCCGGGTGCTGAAGAGGCGGCAGGGGGGCGGACCCAATCCCTCTCTCCATATTTGCATATGTATGAGGTCGCCCGGGCCAGCAGCGAGGAGGCGGGGCTTCTGGGGGTGGGAAGGGGGCGGACACCCCCACAGCCGCCGAGTATAAAGACTGCGCGCCGCGACCGCCGGCCCCGCACTGCTGAGGAGCGGAGCCTCCGCCTGGGGGACCCCCGTCCCTGGCTGTCCCCCAATTGCGCGTCCCTGCCCCACCCCCGCGGCCGAGCCACCACTGGTGTGGCGGTCTCCGCTTGGCGGAAGAGCCTTGAGCGGTCACCCGGCCCCTCTCCACAGCCTCTTTGCATCTCGGATTTCGGGGCAGCCCCCTCCCCCACCCCTCCCTGGCCTCCTTGCACCCCTATTTTTTCTGCGTTTCGCTCCGGTTTTGCAGCCGTCTATTTTTGCATCCCTTTTCATTTTGTTTCTAGAAGGTTTGGGGGGGTGAGGCTGCACCGCACCCCTTCCCCTTTCTAACCTCCCCTGCTCTGACAGTCCCCCTTTTCATCGTAGCTGGGGGGCCTAGGATTCGTGCATCCTACGCCGCGCTGCCAGCACCCCGCAGCGCGTGGCCGTGCGCCCCGGAATTTGCAGCAGCTGCCTAGCTGAGGAGGGTCTCCCTCGCCCCCGCTGCCTTTGCTCCCCGCGCGTTCCGGAGCGTGGGGGGGGGGGGCTTCTGCGCGCCGCACCCCAGCTTCTCCGCAGCCCCCCGCCCCGCGCGGGACTCGTCCCCCGCTGCCAAGATGGTCATCCAGAAGGAGAAGAAGAGCTGCGGGCAGGTGGTTGAGGAGTGGAAGGAGTTCGTGTGGAACCCGAGGACGCACCAGTTCATGGGCCGCACCGGCACCAGTTGGGGTACGCAGGGCGGGCCGCGCGAGGGGCGGGGCGGGGGTCCGCCGGGCGACGCCGGGGTGGGGGGGCACCGGGTCCCGCCGGCTCGGCCCCAGCTCCCTTCCCGGGTCCCCGGCGTCCGGCCCCCCTGCCGGGCTCTGGCCTGGGAGGGGGCCGAATCGCCGGTCTAATCTCCCCGGCCGGCCGCTGCGGAGGCGGAGAAAGTAGGTCACCGCCGCCTTCCCGCCCCCCGCGGAGCCCCCTCGCGCGGGGGGTCGCGGGCCGTGCGCGCGTGTCCGCGCCGTGGCGCTCGCGCTCCCTCTCGGGGCAGGTCCGCTCCGCACGGTCGCCCCCCGCCTTCCCCAGAAGAGCGCCCCTTCCCTCCCTCTGGCTCTCACTAGCTAGCCAAGCCCGTCTATTTTTAGCTCGTGCCCATCCCCTGGACCCTGGGAACATTCATGAGGGGGCGGGTCTTGGAAGGGTGGGGGGTGTGTGGGGGGGTTCTTCACAGCGGAAGTTGTCAGTATCCCACTGCTGAGCGTTTGGAGCTTTCTGTGGCTGCTTTGTGGGTGGGGGGCGGGTGGGGAGGGGTGGCCCTGGGAGGTTTTGGAGGTTGGATGTTCGGCTCAGATGTCTCAGGCGGAGGGAGGAGTAGATGCTAGCGGTGGTGAGACGCGCGTACATCATCCGGCAGAGCGTTTCTATGGGGTTGGGGTGCCTTGGGACCTCCCCAACCCATAGCGGGACTCGAGGTGTGTGGAGGGAGTTGTCTCTAGTCGGGGGGTCTGGTGCTGGGCTTGAGTGCAGGTGAGGGGTGGCAATCTTCCAGAAGGGATTGTGAAGCGGGGAAGTCAAAGCATGGGGGACCCTGTGTGACACAATTTGCAATTCATCCATGCTGATTGCACACTGTTCCTATCAGCACCCCCCACCAGGGGCTCTGGAGATGGGTCCAGTGCAGTCCTTGCCTTGGGGGGGGTACTGGAAGCCCAGCCCCTGGGATTGGAGGGGTCCCTGACTGCTTGGGGAAATCTGGAGAAGCGTCATGGGGAATGTGTCTTCTGAGATGGAAGGACTGGGGGTCCTGGGTGGTGGCAACAGCAGACACAGTAGGCTGAGGAGTGACGGAGTTCCGTGTCCATCCAGCAAGCACCTGCTCTCTGTCTGGAAGGCTCTGGGATAGTCCACCTTTACTCTCCACCTCTGCCTTGGGAGCTGTGTGTGAATTGGGGGTGGGGTGACTGTTAAAGGTTCTGGACAGCTCTGAGAGATGTCCTCGGAGGACAGGATTCGCGTGCAAGGTCTGACCTGTGTGGGGTGCCGGGGGAGAGAAGGCTTTGCTGTTTGAGTGTGAGGGTCCGTAGTCTGAGAGATGGGGTGAGAGTTTAGTTGTGAATGGCGGCCAGTGCCGGTGTACAAAGTCCTTTTTCTGGATGGACGCTTGAAGCACAAGCACCAAAGCAGCAATCACAGATGTGGTGCCTTTTCAGGGCCATGAATGGTCGAGAAGTTGGGAACATAATTTGATGCAAAATGACTGTGGCCTATACTTGGGGTTGTCCCAGCAACGAGAATTTAGGTCTCTTGTGGCCTCCGCAAGGTTGGGCTTCAATGTGCCTTAGGACCAGAGGGGGCTGGGAGCCATGGCTGGAAGCCAGACGCAACTGCCTGTTTCCAGCTTGTCTCCTTTGGCTCCCAAGGGAAGGCTCTAAGATGTCCCCAAGACTCTGTGACCCGTCCCCGTGCTGAACCTCGGAGTGGGAGACGGGTGTGTGGGGACAGGCGAGGTCGTCCCGGGAGCCTTGGACCCTGCTGACCTCATTTCCTCCTCCCTAGCCTTTATCCTCCTTTTCTACCTCGTGTTCTATGGCTTCCTCACGGCTTTGTTCACCCTCACCATGTGGGTCATGCTGCAGACTGTCTCTGACCATACCCCCAAGTACCAGGACCGACTGGCCACACCGGGTGAGTGATGCACGCTCCCCACCCGCCATGAACTGGCCCTGTGCCCCCCAAGCCTCCAAAAAAAGAGCTCACAAGCCCAAGAAGAACTCACAGTTCCCAGAGGCTTGGTTCTGGTGGCCCGATTGCCACGGGCAAGGGAGTGCTCGAAGTCCGCCTTTCTTCCCGTTTCCTGCGGCGGAGAGCTTTGTGACCTGGGGAGGCGCTGTCTATTCCCGGGAGATCTTCCTCCTGTGAAGACGATCTCACACCTTCACCCCATCCATCCATCACCCTGCTGCTCCCTATGTCCATCTTCTTCACTCTGTGTGTGGTCCCTCTATATTCTCCACTCCTGCCTTTGTCGGCTGTAGGCTTGATGATTCGCCCCAAGACGGAGAATCTTGATGTCATTGTCAACGTCAGTGACACTGAGAGCTGGGACCAGCACGTTCAGAAGCTCAACAAGTTCCTGGAGCGTGAGTGTGGCTGTGCGGGAGCTCGGGCAGGGGACTGGGGGACCCAGGAGGCAGCACAGCGGGCCCATGATCCTCTCTCTCCCACCTCCTTAGCTTACAATGATTCCATCCAAGCCCAAAAGAATGACGTGTGCCGCCCTGGGCGCTACTACGAACAGCCGGATAATGGAGTTCTCAACTACCCGAAGCGTGCCTGCCAGTTCAACCGAACCCAGCTGGGCAACTGCTCTGGCATCGGGGACCCGACCCACTATGGGTACAGCACTGGGCAGCCCTGTGTCTTCATCAAGATGAACCGGGTACGTGTGACCGTGGTCACCGGGGAGGACCAAGGAGGAGGGGGCCGGGGCCACCCTCTGCTGGCAGACGCTCTCTTTCACTGGGGCTACTGGATGCTGGAGAGATTTTTGGATGTTTGAGTGGCTGGGAGAACAGGAGAGACGGGGCCGTCGGAGGCTGGGGTGTGCGGAGGGAAGACTGGATACTTGTGTCTTTACAGTCTCCTCTCTCTAGCTCATCCCTCTCTCCTCCCTCCAGGTCATCAACTTCTACGCCGGAGCCAACCAGAGCATGAATGTCACCTGTGTGGGGAAGGTGAGTTTGTCGGGCCTTGCCCACCTGCCCACCTGCGTGCCCTTCGTGGTTTCCACCTAATTCACTGATCTCTCCCTGTCGTCTTTGTTCTCAGAGGCCCCTTCACTATAGGGACAAGGGGGTAAGAGTGGGTGCCACTGTGGCTCGAACTCCCAAGGGGCCCCCACCCCTCTTGCTTCTCTCTAGGATGCAGGAGCTCGCTCTTGTGTGGATAGACACCCACCTCCCTGACTCCACCCAAGCCTTGGCCCCTGTCTTCTATCCCTAACCCTTCCACCTTCTCGTCTAGTCCCTGATAACCGTGACTTCCGCTCTCCCTTCCGCAGCTCACCTGCTCCTTCCTCAGTTCTTTCCAGGTGTCTGGTAGTTAGCCCCACCCGCCGCCACTCAGTGTCCCTGGACCCCACCTCTGTCCTCTCTAGAAACTTTCTGTCCCTCTTCGCTCACACCGCTCCCCCCTCCCCTGCCTCCTGAGCCCTTACTCATTTATCTGTTCTCTCTCTCTCGGATCTGCTCCAGAAACCGATTCCTGAGACAGGGGTAAGAACTCGGTGTGGGAGTGTAGTGCACGGCTTTCAGTCTCATTAGCGCCCTTCAGGACTTCCAAGTCTGATGGAGGAGACAGGCAAACACACACACATACCGGCTCACAGCCCAAGGGAAACTGATCTGAGATAGAAATTATTTGGGGGCGAAGGAAGAACAGAGGGACGTCTGGAGAGCTCTCAGGTTCCTGGCGCCCCAACATGCTCTCCCCCACCCTTTTGCGCCCCCACAGAGAGATGAAGATGCTGAGAATCTCGGCAGCTTTGTCATGTTCCCTGCCAACGGCAACATCGACCTCATGTACTTCCCCTACTATGGCAAAAAGTTCCACGTAAGTCCCGGTGGGAGGCCCGGACTGGCGGCTCCCCAAGGGGAGCAGGGTCCTTGGGGAGGAGGCTGAGTTGCCACCGGCCTGGACCTTTGCTCTCCTCCTCTGGCCCAGGTGAACTACACGCAGCCCCTGGTGGCTGTGAAGTTCCTGAACGTGACCCCCAACGTGGAGGTGAACGTGGAATGCCGGATCAATGCTGCCAACATCGCCACGGACGACGAACGGGACAAATTCGCCGGCCGCGTGGCCTTCAAACTCCGCATCAACAAAACCTGAGGCCCCTTCCTCCTGCCCCCACCTCTTTCCTCTGGATGCTTCTGGAATGTCCCTGACCCTGCCTGATCCCTCCCTCACCCACCCCAAAGGTATTTTTTATAACAGAGCTATGACTTGTTGGAGCCTCGTGCCCTTTTCCTTTACTTGTGAACCCAGCCTGACAGCCATTTGTGATTCCCAGCCCTCAGTTTCCCCCCCCCCCCCGCCCCCCGCTTCCTCTCCCGATTCTAGCTGATTCTAGCTCGGTCAGAGGCAGGGAGACAGGATCCCGGGACGGCCCCAGGGGAGTTAGCCGTTCTGGTTCGGGTTTAGCTGTGAGTGGGGTGTCTCCACCCCTCCTGTCCCCAGAGAGCTATAGAAAATGCCTGCCCGCTCACCTTCACACCCGCCTTCACACTCATCCACCTCCTCACACACACACACACACACACACACACACATCTCGGTTCACCTACACAGTCCCTGTCTTGGTGGCTTTTGACGCATCCGGCTTCTCCTCTGGCCTGTCCCCACCCCCTCTCCACCCCCGTTCCCTCCTCTGAAAGACGACTGTTTGTAATCGAGGACGAGGTGGCTCTGTGGCCTTTTCCCTGTTTTCTGGCACATTTGTCTTCTCACCCTCTGGTGACGGCGTGAGCTGGGAACCAGGGTCTGGAAGAGGAGTCCCCGTTGGTTCTTGAAAACTCTCTTCCTGTCAATAGGCACTCCTCGGAGGGATGGGGTTGACCTAGGCTGAATGTCCACTTTGTTTTTGCCGATGGTTCACTTCTCCCTGTTTGTTTTCCCAGAATATCCTTCAAGTTCCACTCTTCCCCAGAGCCCTGGGGGAGGGGCAGCCATTTTGGCTGGGTCCCCAGTGGCCACCTTGGAAACGTCAGCTGGCTCTGGGACTATTTCACCTCCTTTCTCCCCTGGGCCCAGAGCTACCCGCACCGTCCTCTCTCTGGTTTCTCTTAGCATGTTATCAACTAATCACTAACTCCTTCCCTCTCCGCATGTCAGCCTGAACGTTGCAAACAGCCCCTCAGTCTAGGCTCTGAATGTCTCGGCGCCCCCCGTCTCCTTCAGACCCCTTGGCGTTTTTAAACGACCCCATAGTGTCCATAGAAGGCTCCGTGAGGGGCCTCTGGTATTCTGGAGCGATAGTGCCCTTCATTTCTGCCCTCTCTAACTGTCCATCTCTTTTCTGACACTGCAGCCCCCACACCCCACCCTCCGATGGACCCTTCCCTCCTTCCCTCTCGCTGGTCTGAGGTCTCTTCCCTTCGGGTCCCCATGTTCTCCTGCATTGCCCTCGCCCCGGCGGTCTCTCTCTGCAGTTATTTAATGCCTGTGTCAGATCTACTGTAAAAAGAGGATAAAGTACAATAAAATGAGAGCAATTATATATATAAATATATATCATACACGGAGCCCTGCGTGCGGGTGGTTCCTTGCCGAGCGTTTGGAAGGGCTCTGGGAAAGGGAGTGGGGGGTCATGGGTGTGGGTGATTCGGGGCTTGCCCAGGCCTCCTTCCCAGCTCCGACCACTCCGTCCAGTGTCCAAGCAACTAGATCACTCCTTCACCTGTATGGTCTTTGCGATCACACAGTGCAAGAGAGGCAGGAAGCCTACACCCCTTTGTACAGTGACGATACTTAGGATGTGCCTACTGTGTGCGTTCTAGGCACCGTGAGGACACACTTATGAGAGAGGCAGAGTTCCTGCTCCCAAGGAGCTCCCCAGTTTAACGGGAGAGGTGAGGAGCACACGAAACACTCTCCTACCAGGTAGACCTACACAAATATGCTTCCAGGAGTGGGAGAAAGCTGAAAGCCGGCGAGGACAAAATTCAGAGTGGTCATCTACTTTCTATCGGGGGCTTCCAACAGCGGGTTTCCTAGAGGCTTAAAGGTTGGGTGCATCCACTTAACAATGTTTATTGTGCCATACAGGGATGGGTCTGGAGCCCATTTTTATTTTTCTTGGGGTTTGTTTTTGTTGGTTCGTTGACAACGAGTTAGTCTTAGTATTTGCCACGAAAAATACCTTTAGTACACAGGCACGGGATACACACAATTTTATCACGAATGCGTTGTACACACTAGGATCACTGGGTTTGGTCACTGTTGTGCTGAAATTGCATCCACTTTTGTGCATTCCACTTTCTTCACTCAATAAATTTCTTGTGCCACTATTTCACCTGGTAGAGCTCTAATATGTTTTTTTTTTTTTTTTTTTTAGATGGCTGTGTCATATTTTTCCTGTTGGGTTGTTCTTATTGATTTGTTCAAGCTCCTTGACAGCTGTAGATATAAACTGTTTTCTGCATTGCAAAAATCCACCCCCCCAAGCGATTGTTTGCCTCTCCCTTAAAAAGTGTTCCCTCTTCAGATAGTCCAACTTGCTTAGCTGTTTTGCAGTTCCTGGGTTTCCAGTCACTAAAGTATACTCATATTTTCTAGATTTTTTGGCGGGGTGGGCAGGATTTTCATTTCATTTGAACATCTACATTCACTTTAATCCCTCTGATTTTTGTTTCTTTTTGTGTGGTGTAAATGGGAGTCCAATTTTATTTTATTTTTCTAGTTTTGTCAGTTTCACTTTACTTTTCAAAAATCAAGGGCTCCTGGCTGGCTCAGTTGGTATAGCACGCGGCTCTTGATCTCGTGGTGGTGAGCTTGAGCCCTAGGTTGGGCGTAGTTTACTTAATACAAGAAAGATTTTTTAAAAATCTGTAATTTATTCCCATTGAGGTGAAATGCCAACTTTGGCCATATAATAAAGTTCCTGTGTGCCAAGATTTGCTTTCAGATTTGGTACTTACTGCCCCTGGCTTGTCTACGACTCCACACACCAAGCCATGTTGATTTTATTCCAATAGTTTTACAGTGTTTTTTGATATCTAGCAAGGAGAGTAGGTTTCCCTCCATTGCTTTTTTTTTAATTTTAGCAATCTACCCCCCAACGTGGGGTTCAAATTCATGACCCCAAGATCAAGAGTCGCATGTCCTTTGGACAGAGCCAGCCAGGTATCCCTCCCCCCTTTAAAAAATTATCTATTTACTTTTTTAAGAATCTAATCTCTACACCCAACATGGGGCTTGAACTCACGACCCCGCGAGATCAAGTGTTGCATGCTCTACCAACTGAGCCAGCCACTTGCAAGCCAAGCCCCTCTCGGTACTAATTTTTGAGAAGATGTATTTCTCTATCTACTGTCCATTTACTTTTAATTCCAATGATTCTCTATCCTGGTCTCTTGAGTTTTTAAGGTACATAGTCATATGATCAACAAGGCAAAGAGATATTTCACCAATGTTGGTTTCTTTTTTTTTTGATCCCCTTGAACGCGTTATAACACTGTCAGTGGGCATCCCTGTATGGTTCTTTATTTTAATTGAAATTATTTTAGTGTTTAACCATTAGGATAATACCTCCTGGTATTCCACTACTATTTTTAATTAAGATTCTTTTTTTAAAGGAACGGATGCTGAAATTTAATCAAATTCCTTTCAGCATCTGTTGATATGATCGTATTTTTCCTCCTTAATTCGTTAATGTCATGAATTATGTTGATAGATTCTCTATTAAACAAACTTTGTGCTCCTGGAATAAACCTTTACTTACAGTGTTAATCTTCTTTTGATTCATCAATGCATTCTGGTACTATTTTGAGAGCTTTGCATCTATGTAAGTTAATTTAGCTTCTGGGTTGTTATGGTCTTTATCAGGTTTTTCTATTAACGAAACCACAAAAACTTTACATAAATTAGAGATTTCGTTCTTTTCCTGTGGCACAGAAGAGTTTAAGTAGCATTGGACGAACTGATGGTCCTTGCTGTGTTTTCCTCAACAAGCTCTTGAGTTTTTCTTTTTAAATTATTATTTTTTAATTTTTATTTTATTTTTTAAAAATTTAAAAAAGATTTTATTTATTTGAGAGAGCGGGGGGGGGGGAGGGAGAGAGAGAAGCAGACTCCCCGCTGAGCAAAGAGCCCCGTGCGGGACTTGATCTCAGTACCCTGAGATCATGACCTGAGCTGAAGGCAGACGCTTAACTGACTGAGCCGGCCAGGCACGCTTCTTTCCTTTTTTTTTAATTTATCTTTTTCCCCCCCCAAACTCTTGCTTTTGGATTTACCCTCTCAACCAAGTTCGCTTTCTCTTTCAACAATTTCTTTTTTAGGTTCCTTTTCTCTTTCTCTCTTTTTTAAGAATAATGAAAGCATTTATGGCTATACATTTTCCTCAGAGTACAACTTTTGCTGGGTCTCACAGCTTTGGGAACCCCGTGTTCCTGAAATCAGGGAGGTTAAGTTGTTTAGGAGTCCAGATCTCAGTGGTACAGGGCTCACGCTTTGAGCTTGAGGGCAGAGGCCGTGTCTGCTACAGGCCCCTATGGCCTGGAACAGAGCCAGGCAGAGTAAAGCACCAGCGGATGCCCACGGATGACTGAATGAACACAAGGGAACGAAGCAAGCAGGTGGGACCAGAGAGTTAGGGACCCATTATAAGTCTTCAAACCCAGCCTCATTTCTGGCCCCGTGATCTATCAGCTCACAAAGGTTTCGGCAGAGCCGGTTGGATCTGCTTTCTGAAGGAGCAGAGCAGAATCCAAAACAGCCAGGGACAGTCTAGGGAAATGGGAGTCAGGGGTGCTAGACGCTGGTCAGAAGGGAGCTTCAAGGTGAGCCATGTAGCAGAGCTAAGAGAGGGAATGAGTTTCGAGAGGTCTGGTTTGCCAAGGCCCCGGTGGGTGGGGAGAGATGAAGGAGAACCATCTCTGAGGGAGATGGTTCCAGGTCTCCTGGGGAGTGTTTGGCATTCCCTGGCGAGAAAGAGGAAGAAGGTGGTTTTGAGGCCAGGGAGGCTGGTGGCTGCACAGCCATCTGGGATCCTTGGGGCAAGCCAAGGTACTCCCACAGGCACTTGAAGCCTGGTTGATAAGGCTGAGAAGACAGGGGCCCCAGAAGCTTCTCTGGACCTTAGCACCCCTCCCTCTGCCTCCAGGGAGGAGGTGGGCCAAGCCATGTCCCTACTGTCTGGCCATCCCTCCAAGCACTGGCTCAGCCAGCAGCGGGTGATGGGGAGAGCTCGCCCCCAGCCCCCCTCCCTGGGAGCCAGCAGCACCAAGGAATAGGATGGGCGGGGGTGCTGAGCTCCCCAACCTCAGCTCTCCTCCCTACCCCAAGAAGCCCTTTGAAAGGTTTTCCTGGCAGAGTTTAAAGCTTCAATTCATTGAATTGCCTGGCATGAGGCCCAGGATGAGGGGATGCCGGGAAGGCCCCAGCCCTACACCCCAGCCCTCACCTTAGCCGCCCCCACTTTCCTGGGACCCAGGCCGGCAGGCCTCCCCTGCTCCCTCTCTTCATCCGACGGCACCCACCACCTTTCCCCTCGGGGACCCAGGTATCCTGCCCCTTTCTTGCGGAGCAGATGGCCACCCCAGAGGCCCAGGCTTGCTAAATCAGACATTTAAATCCCATAATCCTTGGTGAGAGGCTGACGGAGGGGGTAGCAGCCCAATCCTAGAAGCAGGGGCAGGAGAGAACCTTGTGCCAGGCCTGGCAGGAGGGGAGGAGGGACAGTTGGTTCCCGAGTTATGAATGGAGTGCCCCCCCCCCTTGTTGTCATGCAGCCCGCAGACTGACCCAGTCTCCAGCTTTTGTTCTCCTCTGGGAGCCCCGGCCTTGGGCCCCCCAGCCCACACTCCCGGGAGACTCAGGTGGCTGCCTCCCAGGGTCACCACCTCCCTCCCCGCTGCGGCACGCGGGCCCCACGCAGCCTGCCCAGGTGCCCACCCCGCGGACACACAGGTGGTAGAAAAGTTTATTGTAAAATAAGAGACTGATATAAAAACAGGATATAAAAAGGGAAGAGAGGGAGGGGGTGTGGGTGCAGAGTGCAAAAGAAATCGATCCTGAGAGATTGGGGGAAGGAAAAAGACCTCAGCAGATACAGATTCCAGGGATGGAATCCTCCAGGCTGTGAGATGGGTGTGAGATTTCCTCTTGGGTGCCGGGGCTCCCCAAGAGGTCAGAAAGGATTTGGCCAGGCCAGCAGGAAAGGGACCCCTCAGCAGCTGCCCCCTCATACAAGCTGTTGCCCCACCCACCGGCACGGACAGGGAACCGGCAGCCTCGGAGACACCACGTCGCAGACATTATGGGGTAAAAGGGCTGTTTTGGGGGGTCAGACATACATAATTTCATTCACCCTCACAACAAACTCCGTGAGGTAGGTATGGTTATCAGCATTTCATAAAAATGGCCTATGAAATTAGGAAATTTCAACCACTGGCTAAAACAGTAGAGAACTGGGCTCATAGCCCAGCGAGTGATTAGTTCTAAAACGCTCCTGACATTCAGGAACATTTTCCTACCTCTCCCATGGTTCCCACAGTAAAAATCTTTAAAAAGAACGTTCTACGTCCCCCCAACCAACTGACCTTGTAGGCCAACTTCTTTAGCAGAGCCTTAGGGCAAGGCGAATGGAAGAATCCAGAGTGTCTCTGGGGCACACCTGTACCAAGCAGTCAACACACCGAGCAGGTGCGCTCAAGCTCCCAAGTCCCAAAAATGCCAGGGAAAGAGGGGCAAGGGGGAGGGGGTCAGTGGGGGGCGGGGGAGGGGGACACAGGAAGCAGGGGACGTCAGTCTGAGTCGGGTCCCTCTCTCTTCAACATCAGTTTTTTATGGCGGGAGGTAGACTGCCCCTTCTTAGCCTTCAGGTGGCTGTTGCAGAGACAAGAGGGAGGGGAAGAGATGACATCAGCGAGTGGGAGGCTCGGGGCTCCTTGTCCTAGACCTCTGCTTGGGAGGGCCCGAGGCGGGAGCAAGGGAATTTCAGTTAAAATGGTCATCGCCAACTGCAGGTACGTTTGCTGAGACCTGGGGCACTTCCGCGTATTCTCTTCATCTTCCCCCCACCCCGTCGGACAAGCAAGGAAACTGAGCCCAAGAAGGGGAGTGGCAAGGCCCCACGGACCTGCTCGTACTGGGCAGGGCTGGGGGTCTGTCCCAACCTCGCCATGTCCAATACTCCCACATGGTTATCAGGCCCCTATTTGAGCCCCCAGCTCTGCGCTAGAGATTGCTGGAAATGACAAAGAAACACCCCCTGCTCATCCCTGGAGGGGCTTGGGGACCTCCCAAGGCAGGAATGGGGTTGCGGGATACGCCTAGGGGGAGACGGAAGCATGTTCGGGCAGCGGGGGACCCACCGTGAGGGCCCCCACCGTGAGGGCGTCAGCTCCCTTTGACCTTGAAGGTAGGATTAGAATGGAATCCCGTTGTCTTTCCAAGGTAGGAACGCAGGGGAGTGGGGCTGGGAGAGGCCCCCGGTCACTCACCTGGAGTGAGCCCTGCTTCCCCCTGGCTCCTTTCCACTCAGGGCATCCTTCAGCTCCAAGGCCTCATTCAACTCCCTGAACATATTGAAGCGTTCGCGCCCACGGATCTGCGGCAGGGGAGGAGGGGGAGAAAGAAGCATGAAGGCGAAGCCCCAGGACCACTGAACCCCCGTGGGGTGGTGTGGCAGTCTGCAGCGAGGGACGGCTGCGCCCTGATGGCAAGTGCCCTAATTGCAGGCAGAGCCGGCCGGGGGGGGGACGGGACAGCGTTCTGAGCGCTGGGCTTGAAACCAATATTCAACCCAGGAATATTCACTTCCAGAATCGGGGACAGGACCAGGGGAAAGGATGGATACAGGAAGAGGGCCTAGCCTTCCGTTTGCTCCATTCATAGTTTTTTCCCCTCATCCAGGCCCACTGAGTGGGGGCAAGAGCCTGCCTCTCTGTCCCTCCCAGGCTTGGTACCTGAAGGGTGAAATATTCCCCATCCAGTGGCTTCTTCTTTTGGGGAGGAGAGGAGCTGGTGCTGGGAGTCAGTGCTGGGAAAGAGGGGAGGAAAGACAAGAGAAGAGTACATTTTTTTTTTAATTTTTTTAATTTTTTTAAAGATTTTATTTATTTATTTGAGAGAGAGAGAATGAGAGGGAAGAGGGTCAGAGGGAGAAGCAGACTCCCTGCTGCGCAGGGAGCCCGATGTGGGATTCGATCCCGGGACTCCAGGATCATGACCTGAGCCGAAGGCAGTTGCCCAACCGACTGAGCCACCCAGGCGCCCGAGAAGAGTACATTTTGAGCAGAACTGCACCCTCTGTACTTCCCCTACCGCCTCTCGTCCTGACTGCTTACCTCGCTTAGTGCTCCCGGGGGGCGGCTCGGGGCAAGGCTCCCCCTTCTTGCGGAAATTCTCCTCTTCTGTGCGCCGGTCTCTCCCAGGACAGGCACAAACGCGTACCTCAAAGCTGCTCCGTCCCAGCACAGTACCACTACCCAGGCAAGAAGACCAAAGCAGGAGGCGGTAAGGGAGGTGAGCCACCCCCTAACTCCCAACCATACTCATCCTCAGCGGAGCCTGAGCCTAAGGACTACTGAGAAGCCACGGGTCAGAGAGGTTCCAAAGCCAGAGAAAGGAAACTGGGGGAGGCCGAGGGTGGGGGACAGCAGAGGAGGGTCCATGCGTGGGGGCAGGCATGAGTGGGAAGGTTGGGTGTCAGTAAGGGAGGAAGGGGCCCGGGGCAGGGCCGCGTGCAGGGCCCTACCTGGAGTCTTCCAGGGTGATGATGGTGAGGATGGGCCGCCGGTTCATGCCCCCCATGCAGGAGCTGTTACACATGTAGTTATAGTGGACGGTGGTACAATCAGAGCCGACCTGAGCCAGAAGACAGGCCCAAAGTCAGGCCACCCCGCCCCCGGCGGCCCACAGTCTCCGTAGGCTTCAGTTTCCCCAACCGCGGAATGGGGATGACCTGTCTGGCTCTGCGCACCTCACGGGCCGTGTGGAGGTTGAATAAGGAGAAAGCACCCCCCCATCTCCCACGCGATGGACCCCTCCAGCCCTCTCCTCCCAGAGACCTCAGACGCCAAACCAGACCTCGGGCGGCTCGTAGGGCACCACCACGCTGTGTCGGAAAGTGTTTCTGTCGTCCAAGTACTTGGCACGCAAGTTTCCTTCCACCCGGATGAGATGCTGAGGCGGGGCCAGCCCTGCGAGCAGTCGGGGAAGGGAATCAGGGGTTTGGGGCCTCGGGGCACCGGCCCGCCCCGTCGGCCGCCCCCGCCCCCGCCGCTCACCATCGCTGTTGTCCGGGCAGCGCTCGTGGTGGGGGCAGCGCCGCACAACCTCTGTCACGAACTCGGACTTCTTATAAATGGCCATGGCGCGGACGCAGGTGTCGGGTGGGGGCGGGGAGCTGACCCACAGCTGCACCGGGCAGGTCTTTGCCAGCTGGCAAAACAGCTTGTTGAGGGACGGGGAGTACTGTAAGGAAAGGAGGAGGGGCGGACAGGTCAGGGGATGGGGTGGGGGGCGCAAATGGACGAACAGCCGGAGCAGCAACCGGAAGCCACGTGCCGTGTGGGGACGGTGGGTAGACATGGCGGGGTTGGGGTCTGTATCCCAGAAGCTTACTTTAAAAAAGCCAAGGATTGAATGAGGGAAGGAAAACGAAGAAGAGTTCCAGGGCCCCGTCTGACGGGAAGGGTGAAAGCCCAAGGTCAAAGACTAAATAGAAGTGCAGACTGGAGAGGCCCAGAGTGTGGCCAGGCGCGGAACAGTCCCATGGAAACCAGCCCGTGAGGGCCACTGACCGTGCAAGTAACGGACTTGGCTGTCCCGGAATGCAGGAACCCCAAACGGAACCCATAGGTGCCAGGGTAGGTCTTCGGGGAAGGGACAAAGGATGACAGGGGCCAGGAGGTGGTTGGTCCCGGGCCCGCGGGGGCAGGAGCTGCGGGCATCCTGGGAGCGTCATCGGACCCTGCATCCAGCCAGTTCGCGACGCCTTCTGAGAGCAGCAGTTCGTCCACTGCTGGGGACAGCTCGGGAGACTGCAGGTGGAGAGACAAGAGTCAGAGGGCCAGGTCCCCAGCCCCTGGCCCCGCAGCCCCCCCCCCCATCCAGTCCTTACCAGAACATTGTTTTCAGGAAGCCTGGAAGACAAGAGCAGAAAGTCAGTGCTGGTGTTTGCTTCCCATGGGCTTCTACCAGAGGGCTGGGGATTGGGGTGGGCGGGCAGGATGGGGCAGTGATCCCGGGAGGCTGGTGGGGAGCCTGCCCTGCCCTCCACTTACAGGTTCCACAATTCGGAAAATGTCTCCTGGCTCAGAGGGGGGTCAATGGTGAGCTCTGACTGTGGGTCCTGCATCGCAGCTCCTGGGAAGACAGTGTAGCCACTGTGGAGAGCAAAGTGGGGTGTCCATTATGAGACACACCCAACCCCGGGTCCCCCAACCCTGAGGCAGGAGGGACCTCTCCACCAACACGGTACCAGGGCCTGAGATGCTGCGGTCCCTGGCCTCCCCAGGAGCAGGGTTGCTCCCGGCCAGCCCCTTGATGACCCAGCCCAGCCCAGCCCAGCCCACCTGGCCTCGAGGTACAAAGATAACCAGAGAGGGAATTTCAGCCTTCCCACCACTGAGTCCACAAGCCTTCCTGGAAGGGTACCCTATTTCTGTCCTCCGTCCTGGAAATAAGGATGAAGCATATCAGCCTACACCCTCCCCCTGGGGGAAGATACATCCAGGGACCCCCACATTCCCCACCTGACCCCCTTCATGACGAAGCTTCCTGAAGAACTAGAATCCCACTCCCACCCCTGGCTTACAGGGTCCTCAGGACTCTCCCATCTGCCTCTCTGACCTCATCTGCTAGCACGCTCCAGCCACGGGCTGCCCTTCTCTGCTGCCAGACACAGCCCGGTTTACCCGGCTGGTGGTTCCCTCTACTGGGAACCCTGGTCCAGCCACTGCCACAGAGGAGGCACCTTCTGGGACCTTGTCTTGAATGTCACAGCTCCTCAAGGATGTTTGCTCAGACCACCCAGGCAAAGACTGCGGGCAGTAAGTGAATGGTTGTGCCCAGGCCGTGAGCAGGTTGTGAGCTGTCCAAGGAACGGGCAGTTCACAGGGGCAGTCCCAGTCCCGGCCGGGGCTCCAACCTAGGCTATGAGGCCACCGTCTCGTGACATCTTCCCTGACACCAAGTTTGCCGTGAGTTTTGAGAAAAACAACCCACGCCCCCTGTGGACATCCCATTCATTCTTTGTCTTGTAAAGCATGACAAGCCCATCACCCCCCCCCCCGCCCCCCCCGCAGCTCCTCCCATGATCATCCCCCCCACCCGAACATTCACCTGCTCCCAGGCCTGATTTCTTATGTACTCAGAGTTTGTGAAATCCGTTCATGTGGGTTAATTCATTTGTCCTAAGAACCACACCGGCCGCCCCTGAGCCCCCCTGACAGGTGAGGAAACTGAGTCTCCGAACCTGCCCGCAGCACACATAGGCGAACAAATGAGCTTTTATTAAAAATGACCATTCAGACATCTAGGAGGAGGATGCTTACTTCATCACCAACTATTCTCTCTTCAGAGCTCTCTTTTGTTAAGGCTGGAGGTGCAGATTTTGGCTGACAAAAGTCCTCCAATGAAGAGGTTGGCTAAGGCTCCTTATCACAGCCACCAATGCTGGGGTGGCGGGGGGGGGGGGAGGATGGACAATGCCTGTGGAGGGAGGAAGGCAGGAGGGGGCAGCAGGGGAAGTGATCCCAAATCTTTGCTTGGCGGGGAAGGACCAGGACCCCGCTCCATCAACGATCAAAAGAACTTTGAGATTTTTATGGAAGGGAGCTTCAGAAGTCAAAAGCCCTAAATGTTACTTACATTTGCTGTGCAACTTTACCCGCCTTTACCTTACCTTACCTACCTTACCAACTTTACCTATCTCAAGGGCTAGCCTTTTGGCTTCCTCACATACAGGCATTGAGTTTTCCTCATCTTTCTGTGTTTAGTGAAAAGTACCCAGGACTGGGAGCCATGAGCAGCAGGCTAGGCCTGCATCCCAGGCTCACCATGTAATAGCTGTGTAATTTGGGGAAGATACTTAACCTCTCTGTGCCTGTGTCCTCTGCTCTAAAGTAGTACCCTACTTATTATGGGTAAGGTACAGACAGAGCTGACAAAGGTGCCTGGCACATAATAAAAGCTTGACAAATGTGTTTGTTTATAGGATTATCCCATTTTATTAGTTCTATATTGCAGGAACAATCACTAGGAGACCTTTTCAGAGCCGGTCCTTCCCAGGGATGAGCACCAAGGGCCATTAAACTAAATTTTCAGAAGCTGAACCAGACTTTCCAAATGGCTGGGGAGGCAGGAGGTCAACATAGTTATCCCTGGTGGCAAGGCCACAGACTCAGCTGGGACTCCATCAAGGCGCCCAGCCCACCACCATCCCAACAAGGGCTGATGTTTATCCGTCCCCACAGGGGCCCACTGCTCCCAGTGGCTTATCTCATTAATCCTCTCAAGAAGCCCTTACCTGTAGGTATCACCAGCTGAGGGAATGGAGGTTGAAAGAATTATCTCACTTCTGGAAAGTAATAAGGCAGTGTCAGGCAGCTTACTGCTTTGCAAAACCACTTGTAGGTAAACCCCCTTAGAATAGTGTTGTATGGGGCAGCAGGAGTTTTGCACAAATATGTTCACGTCAGTGTTGTTCTCGATGACAGGTGATGAGAAACATTACTATCCACCAGTAGGGAATGGCTGTATGAAATACCCACAAGAGAGAGACATTTACTACAACAGTTTAAGGAAATGAGTTTATCTGTTTATATGTAACTAGGTATAGCTCAGAAATAGGTTGATTACAAAATACAATTTGCAGGGGGAAAAAAAAGCCAAACACAGTAATGTAGGTAGTTCATGTGAATTACAAATACAAAATGACTACAGTTGACCCTTGAACAATGTGGGGGTTGGGGGCAGGGCCCCCTGTGCTGTTGAAAATCCATGTGTAGCTCTTGACTGCCCCCAAATTTAACTACTAATAGCCTACTGTTGAGCAGAAGCCTTACCAATAACATCAACAATTAACACCTATTTTGTGTGTGTACTATATACTATATTCTTTCTTTTTAAAGATTTATTTATTTGAGAGAGAGAGAGAGCACACAGAGTGAGAGAGAGGGAGAAGCCGACTCCCCACTGAGCAGAGAGTCCAACACAGGGCTCGATCCCAAGACCCAAAGACACTACCTGAATGGAAGGCAGATGCTTCACCGACTGAGCCACCCAGGCACCTCTTCTATACTATATTCTTAAAGTAAGCTAGAGAGAGGGGCGCCTGCGTGGCTAAGCCGGTTGAGCATCTGTCTTCAGCTCAGGTCATGAAGCCAGGGTCTTGAGATTGAACCCCCACATGGGGCTCCCTGCTCAGCGGGGAGCCTGCTTCTCCCCCTGCCCCCCCCACTCATGCTCGCTCTCTCCCTCTCAAATAACTAAATAAAATCTTAAAAAAAGCAAGCTAGAGATAATGCTATCAAGATAATCACAAGGAAAAAAAAGACATTCACAATACTATACTCTATTTATCCAAAAAACCCATGATAAGTGGTCTCATGCAGTTCAAACCTGTGCTGTTCAAGGGTCAACTATATTTATTGCTTATAAACATATATACGTGGAAGTATGAAAAGACAGGTGAGAATAAAAACTTATAAACTATGATAGTGATGGTCTCAGAGAGAGGGAGAGATGTGTGCTCATGGGACTGGGGTACCATCAAAGGGTTCTGTCTTGATTAATGAAGGAAAATTTAAAAAGATGGTATTCATATATTACTTGTGTATTTAAAATAGGGACACAAATAAGACAACTGTTAAGTGTTATAATTCTTTGGTGGGAATACGAGTGTTGTATTATTCTCATCTGTGTTTTTCTAAAATAAAAAAACCTAAACAAGAAAATTGCATAATACTTACTACAGACAATTTCAAACACATGAAAAAGGAAAAAAGAATGATGTACTCCCCTGTATCCATCTTCCAGCTTCAAGAATAATCAACATTCTGCCTTTATTGTCTCCCCTAAACCCCCAGCTGCTCCCCAGAAGCCCACAAATGTTTTTGAGGTAAAATCTACATAAGTTGAAATGCACAATCTTAATTTTACCATTTAGATAACAAATTTGACACATTTTGATACAACCTTGTAACCTAGCCCTACCAAGCCTAAGACACTTTGCCGTGTTTCCTTCTGAAAGTTATACGTTTTATGCTTAGGTCTACTATCCATCTCCAACTTGGTATGGTGTGAGGTAGGGGTTAGGGGTCAAAGTCCATTTTCCACTTTCAGTTGTTTTAGCATGGCTTCATTTTGGGGCCTTTGTAAAAAACCTTTTTTTTTTTTTATTAAAGATTTTATTTATTTATTTGACAGAGAGAGACACAGCGAGAGAGGGAACACAAGCAGGGGGAGTGGGAGAGGGAGAAGCAGGCTTCCTGCCAGGCAGGGAGCCCTATGCGGGGCTCGATCCCAGGACCCTGGGATTATGACCTGAGCCGAAGGCAGCCGCTTAACCGACTGAGCCACACAGGCGCCCTGTAGAAAACCATTTGACTACACTTAAGTGTCTTTTCCTGGGCTCTATTCTGTTCATGGTTGTTGTCCTACAGTAGCTTTATAGTAATCTTGAAAGTCAGCTAGTTTAAGACCTCCAACTTTGTACTACATTTTCATTTTGGAATCGGCTTGTCAGTTTCTACAAACAGACCTGCTAGGATTTTGATTGGGATCAAACTAAATCATTCTGGAGAGTACTGACATCTCAACACTATTGAGTGTTCCATCCATGAATATGGTACTGTGTTATTTAAATCTTCCTTAAATTCTCTCAGCAATAGTTTGCAGTTTTTAATATAGAAACCTTGTCCATCTTTTGTTCAATTTATCCCCAGGTATGCTATGTTTTTGGATGCTTTGTAAGTGGCACTGTTTTACAATTCATTTTCTGACTTCAGATTCAATGGTTGCTATTATATAAATATACAATTTATGTATATTGCCTTTGAAACCTGTGACCTTGCTATCATCACTTACCAGTCATGATAGTTTTTCTTTTTTAAAAGATTTTATTTTTTAAGTAATCCCTACATCCAACATGGGGCTCAAACTTCCAACCCTGAGATCAAGAGTTGCATGCTCTACCAACTGAGCCAGCCAGGTGCTCCTCATGACAGTTTTTCAATGGATCTTCTATTAGCCTGGTTAACACCTTCGGTGTAATGTTGAAGGGGTGAGAATCAAATCCTTTTCTTTTTTTTTTTCTTTTTTTATTTTATTTTATTATTTTTTAAAGATTTTATTTATTTATTCATGAGAGACAGAGAGAGAGAGGCAGAGGGAGAAGCAGGCTCCCAAGGAGCAGGGAGCCCAATGTGGGGCTCGATCCCAGGACCCTGGGATCATGACCTGAGCCGAAGGCAGATGCTTAACCATCTGAGCCACCCAGGCTCCCGAATCAAATCCTTTTCTAGTTCCTGATCTTAGAAAACAAGCATTCAGTCTGTCATGATTATGTATTGATGGTAACTTGATTGGGGGTGCCCTTTATCAGACTGAGAAAGTTTTCCTTTTCCTAGTTTGCTGGGAGCTTGGCTTTTCTTTTCTTTTTAAAATCATGAATAGGTGCTGCATAATGTCAACTGCTTTTTATGCATCTGTTGAAATGATCATAGGATTTTTATCCTTCAATCTGTTAATGTGGCAAATTACACTGACTGATTTTTTATTTTTTTTATTTATTTTTTTTATTTTTTATTTATTTTTTTAAAGATTTTATTTATTTATTTGACAGAGAGAGACACAGCGAGAGAGGGAACACAAGCAACAGGCAGAGGGAGAGGGAGAAGCAGGCTCCCCGCTGAGCAGGAAGCCCGATGTGGGGCTCGATCCCAGGACCCTGGGATCACGACCTGAGCCGAAGGCAGATGCTTAACCAACCGAGCCACCCAGGTGCCCCAGCACTGACTGATTTTTTAAATGTTAAAACATCATTGCAGTCCAGAGATAAACTCTACTTGGTCAGGATGTATTTACCACTTTTATAGATTATCATATTTGATTTGCTAAGATTTTTGCATATACATATTTGCATATGTATATATACATACATATATATATATATATTAGCAAGAATATTGGTCTAAATGTTCTTTTCTTGTAATGCCCTTGTCTGGTTTTGGTATCAGGATTCTCAGGATATCATGAAATTAGTTGGGAAATGTTACCTCTTCTATATTCTGAAAGTTTGCATAAGATTGGTACTGTTTCTTCCTCAAATGCTTGAAGAGAAGAACAAAGAAGAAATAGAATAGAAAATAGCATTAACATGGTAGACTTAAACCCAAACCTTACAATAATTGCATTAAATTAAATGGACCAAGCACTCCAATTAAAAGCAATTTAGTGGGGGAAAGGAGGGCTGTTTCAACAAGTGGAGCTAGAGGAACAGAATATCTATATAGGAACCCCCCCCCAAAACAGAACTCCTACCTCACATCATAAAAATTATTTTAAAATTAATTAATTATGGCTCGTAGACTTAAGTATAAAACCTAAAACCGTAAAGGTTCTAGAAGAAAATATCCTAGAGATTCTTCATGACCTTAGGGTCAGCAAAGATTTTCTAAACAGGTCACAGAAAACATTTGAAAGACAGAAGATGAATCTTCTGCTGCTCCTTAGACACTGACAGAGAGGCAAGTAACAGGTCAGGAGAAAACACAAATAGTGACAAAAGAAGCCTATCCAGAATACATAAAGAAATGCATGCAGCTGAACACAATTTAAAAAAGCAAATAAACCAACTTCAAAAAAATGGGGGAAAGATTTGAAGAGCCGCTTCCATTATGACATAGGAATGGCCAATAAGCACATGGAAACTGATCCTAACTAAGAGGATTGCAAATTAAAACCACAATGATGTACCACATTAGAAAGACTGACAAACCAAATGTGAGGAAGGACGGCTCTTGCTGGTGGGAATGTAACACCGGGACAACCACTTTGAAATATAAGAATTTAAAAAATCAAGTTTAGATCTCCTCTCTTACCTAGCAATTCCATGCCCAAGCAGTTATCCAAATAATAATAATAATAAAACATGAAAACATATGACCACAAAGAGAAGTGTACAGGAATGTTAATAGCAGCTTTATTCGAAATAACCCCAAACGGGAAACCACTCAAAAGGTCACCGAAAGGAGAATGGATAAACAATCCACGGTTTATTCATCCGATGAGATGTGCTAAATACAAAGGAGCAAAACACTGATACATTTAGTAACACGGATGCATGTCGCAGGCAGTATGCTGCCCACCAGAAACCTACACAAAGGAGCATATCCTGGGTGGGTCCATTTACACGACGTTCTCCGACAGGCAAAACTGGTGACAGAACTCAAAATAAAAACGAGGGTCAGAGACTGGGTAGAGGCGCGAGAACCTTCTCTAGGGCGATGAAAATGTGCATTTTGACAGGCTGGGGGTTAGATGCCCAAACTCGTCTAATCGCAGCGGGTGTCAGTGCTACCTCGATTTCGGAACAAGCTGCACCCAGGCACCGCGCGGAGTGGCGGGTACGGAGCAGGTGCGCAGGTGAGCGCGCGCAGGCTGGAAGCACCGCGCCGGGAGTGATGGACGGGCGGGAGGCCGGACCCCCGCCCCTTCGGCTCCCCTCGGCTCGGCTCGGCTCTCCTCGGCTCGGCCCGCCCCCTCCAGCCCCCGCCCCTTCCGCCCCCACGACGTTCGCTCTGCGTCCGAAATCCGAATGGCTGAGCCCGGAGCCGGATGCCAAAGAAACCGTGTCTCGGCCACAAACAAACGGCGCACCGTCGCACTCTGTCATCATTTAATTCTCAAATGAACCCGTTCTCGAAAATACCCAGGGCTTGCCGTCGGCACGCTTTTTTAAAACCCCGTCCCTCGCAATGGTAGCGTCCGCCCGGATTGCAGCCGACGGGGTGGAGCACACCATTCAAAGAGGGGGAGGGATTGAGGTTTGTATCAAAACAGACCCTCCCTCCCTCCCCAAAGTGGCAGCTAAGTGGTCGAGGAAGGGGGAAAAAAAAAGGAGGGGAGAGGGCTAGCAGCTCCCTCTGCACTTAAGCGGAGCCGGGCTAAATGACATTTTCTCTCTTCTTCCCTCCAACCGGGTGAACAGTGAGCTGCTCCGGAAAAAAGAAACCGGAAACACTGCGGCAAAGTGGCAGAAATGTAAATGTACAGCCAAACAATAACAGGGCTCGCGGGCCTCTCGGACCTGGACAGTCCTCCCCGGCTTCGCGGGCAGACCTCCCGTGGAGCACTTCCCACTTCCACGACTGACAGTCTAATTGGATTTTCTCCATCTAGCGGAGCCGGGGACCGGTTGGAAAGAGCCCTCCAGGAAGGACAAAGGTCCGGAAGTTATGGGACCTTAGCAGCTTGGGCTTCCTGGATTAACCCCCCGAATAGTCATTTCGGAATGGAACCGAAGTTCCACAGGATGCGGTGGGCTCGAAAATCTGGGGCCATGGGTCCCCAAAATTCCGAGATTCGAAAATTTCAGGTCCTGATGCTTTGTGCGTCTGATTTCAGGGTTCCCCACACTCAGCACTGGGATGGGTGGGGTGGGGAAGCAGCCCTTAGGCCTGCTGCAGGTCCCACTCTCCTGTTCAGCTCCGAGTCCGGCTGGTCCTAACATCCCCATCACCTACACCCAGGCCTCCCAACTTTGCATTCCTAGGTTGGTGCCGCCAGCGAAAGGTCCATTCCCCCAAATCGCTAAGTCCCCAGTGCCCCACCCCCAGACCCCCTCAATTCTCCCAAGCTGAAAATATACGGAGCCGAGAGCCGGTGACTCAGAGAGGACTCATCTGGCTCAGTCAGGAGCTTACCCGAACCTCAGGGGAGCGTGTCACCGTCCTGGGAAGCACGCTCCGAGGCCGGACGCCAGGTGACCCCGGAGCCCAGCGGCTACCTGCGCCCAGGATCGTGGCTCTGGACTTTTGAGCGGCTCAAAACTTTTAGCGCCAGTCGAAGCACATGGGAGGGGAAAATCCCAATCCCAGCAACCCCCGCGAGGCTCCTGGCACAAAGCTGGACAGTCGCCATGACAAGTAAGGGCAAGCAGTTCGCCGGCGGGCGGAGGCGGTGGGAATGGAGTCCGCGAGGAGGGCAGGGAGGCAGTCGGGATTCTCGCCGTGTTGGTGCTGTTGCTCCTTGACGTTGGGGTGGGGGGAAGTTCGACAAGCCAGAGCTGCGAGGGCAGAGTTGGTGGAAACCATTTTAGAAGACTCCTGCCACTGTGTCAAACATGAAGGTGGAAGGAACAGGGTCCTTTGCACTTGTCATTCCTCTCCCAGATAGCTGGAGAGTTTCTTCTCAGCCGCTAAAACGTAACCTTTTAGGAAGGACTTCCTTAACATCCGAATGCAACGAATGCCTTCAGATACTCTGTATCACACCGTCTTGTTTAATTTCCTTCACAGCCCGGGCCGTTTTCTGCAAAGATCTGTTCCTTGCCTTAAATACACAGCAGCGTAAGCCTTAGGGGGCAGAGACCTTGTCTACTGTCTTATTTATTGTTGTATTTCTCAGTGCCTAGTACAGTACTGGGTAGAAAGGAAGAGCTCAGTAATAAGCACAATGAATGAAAAGAGACGGAAGTCAGGAATGTGGCGGAATAAGCAAAAGAGGGGCAAAACCTGTAAAATCAAATATAGCGCTGGCGCCCTCTGCAGGTGACGGGGGGAGTAGGTGCTTTAAGAGTGCCCGAGGGAGACGGCAGGGGGAGCTCGGGCACTTCTCGCCGAGGCAGAAACTCTCGGACTATAACACCCAGCAGCCACCAGGAGCCCCACGGCTTGATGGGAACGGTAAACCTGCGTGACCCGTTACGTGCCTGCCCCGCCCCGCCCGTGGGTCGCCCGCGAAATCTGAGCCGGGATGCGGAGGTCCAATGGAAAGGTGGGGCCAAATCCCGCGAGAGCGAGCCGCTCTTAGCGACCGACCCGACTGAGAGACGCTGTGCTTTGCAGCCTCGGCTTGTCCACCTGTACGGCTCGCTTCCCGGGGGGCTTCCGCCCCCTCCCGGAAGAAGGAGGAAGGCCCCGGCGCGTTCTCCAGGTCTGCGTCCGGGAGCCGAGCGGACTTCGGGGTCGTGTCGGCCAAGCGGGACGAGGGTTGGGGCCGAGGCCGGTGTCCCTGCTTCCTCGGCAGCATGAGCGCACCGGGGGCGCCCGGGTTAGCCCCGGACTGCCTTGCTGAGGACCAGGCCCCCGCTCAGGCATCCCCGACGGATGAAAATACGGATCCCGAAGTGTTGCCGCCACCGCCACCAGCTGGGGACGACCCTCCCCGCTCGTCCCCGGATCGCACGGCTAGTTCCCAGGAGCCGGGGGAGGGCGGCTCAGCTTCTGCCTCCACCGCCCCGGAGGCGGGCTTCGCTACCTGTGGCGAGTTGAGCCCTCGAATCGAGGAGCCAGCACTTTGTGAAAACGTGAGCCTTCCTGCAGAAGAAGCGAACGGGCCAGAGTCGGGGCCCGGAGAAGCCGTGGAAGGTGTGTCTGAGGACCCCGCCCCGGAGAACGAGGGATACACGTAAGTGGTGATGGCAGGGCCGTCGGGGCCCGAGGAGATCGGGAGTGGGAGATGCGTGGAAGTGCACTACACGCTTATCCGCCCGTCCTCAGCCCCACTTCTGCAGGCCTGCTTCCTCCTTGCTTTGCCGACCTAGGTTTGTTGCCCCCCCCCATCTTCCTTCCAGCACTTGGAACTACAGCTTCTCCCAGCTACCTCGGTTTCTCAGTGGTTCCTGGTCAGAGTTCAGCAGCCATCCCGAGAACTTCTTGAAAGGCTGTAAGTGGTAAGTAAGGATATAATCGGGCCGGGAGGTAACCATGCTTAGGATTTTCACCATAAAACAACCCCAGTTATCTGGGAGAAGGAGTAAGAGTTCCTCTTGGACTGAGCTTAAATTTCATCTAGGATTATGTGTCTTCTGCTTTCCTCAAGGCCTTGGGTAGGGCGGGGGCTTACCTACCCCAGGGTAGGCTCAGTCTTAGCCCTGCACTTGGAAAATAGAGCCCTGTCCAGCTTTCTCTTTCCTATTCCTACAGGGCCCCTGATGGTTCCTGCATCTTGACCAATAGTGCCGATAACGTCCTGCGGATTTATAACCTACCCCCGGAGCTGTACAATGACGGGGAGCAGCTGGAATATGCAGAGATGGTAAGGGTAGGGGCTACCTGTGCTCCTTCACCGATGCTGCACATTTCAACCCTTCGAGTAGATGGAGGAAGTTGAGTCCACATGTTTCCTGTTCACAAACAGAACATTTCTTCATGAATGTACACAGGTGGCACTTTCTCTCCAGGATGTGAAGTTTAGAGAAGTGTCCTTCCTTCCTTTAGCTGTGAATACGTGTTTTCTGTAAAAGAATAGTGGGTTTCTCAGGGCAGTATTTAATTGACTTACAGATGTTTATTGAATGACCGCCAACTTATCAGTTACTGTGTTTGGTGCTGGGATAAAGTGCTGAAGCAGACAGATGAAGAGCTGGGTTGCTTTCTCTTGTGGGAGCTAGACAACACACACGTAAAGTGATAAGTAACGAAGTTCGTCACACATTATGCTAAATGCTGTGAAGGAAAGAAACAGAATGAGGAAGGACTAACTTGAGGAGACGACTTTAGATAAGGAAGGGGCTCTCTGAAGAGGGGACATTTGAGCTGAGACGTGAAGGATGATGGAATCGGTCATGTGAAGGGCTGTAGAAACAGCATCCCAGGAAGAGGCAGTGACATTACAGAGCCCCAGAGTGGGGCAGGAGCTTTGTGTTTTCAGGGAACAGGAGGAAGGCCAGCGTGCCTGGACTGAGGCCAGTGAGTGGGGGAAGTGTGAGGATGGATCCCACGACCCATGACCCATGTCAGATATGGTGGATAGGCCATTTGGAGTTTGAGAAACCAGAGGAGAGTTTTAAAACAGAAGAGCGAAATGATGGCTGAAGTTTTTAGAGAATGGATTATGGTGAACCAGAGTGAAATCAGGTGGATTCATTAGGATGCATCTATCACGGTCCTGGTGAGAAACGGTGGTGGCTCGGGCCGGAGGGGCAGCAGGAGAAATGCAGCGGTGTGGATGATTCGAAGTGTATTTTGTAGGACGTGGAGGTCAATTGGATGTGAAGGTGCAGGGAAGGAAACAATCAAGGGTCCAGGTGTTTGCAGCCAGGTAGGTGGTGGTACGATTTAACTCAGGAGAAAACAGATATGAAGAAGTATTAGGACAAGTCAGGGGTGTTTAGATCTGTGAAATGTGAAGCTAAGGGAGAAACTGGGGCTGGGGGTGTACTTTGGGAAGCGGAGAAGCATGTGGATGGTACCTGGTGTCTTGTGAACGGATTCAGTCTTGAGTGTAGCTAGAGAAGGAGAAGGCTCTAGGGCGCCTGGGTGGCTCAGTTGTTAAGCGCCTGCCTTCAGCTCAGGTCAAGATCCCAGGGTCCTGGGATCGAGCCCCGCATTGAGCTCCGTGCTCTGAGGGAAGCCTGCTTCTCCCTCTCCCACTCCCCCTGCTTGTGCTCCCTCTCTCGCTGTGTCTCTATCAAATAAATAAATAAAATCTTTAAAAAAAAAAAAAAAAGAAGGCTCTAACAGAGCCTGAGCGCTCCAGCAGACGGAGTGGAGGGCAGGAGAGGTGACAAAAGCAGAGGCAGAGTCAGGTCTAACGCTGTTGAGGGTGAGACAAATTTAGAGAATGACCCAAGAAGACATTAGCGACCTTGGCAAGAACACTTTCCGAGGAGTGATGGAGGCAGAAGCCAAGTAGGGCGGGGGGAAGAGGAGTTAGGGACAATTCTTTGGAAAGTTTTCTTGTGGAAGGGAGTTGAGGAATGGTATAGTGACTAGAGGGAATATGGGGCCAAAGGAGGGTTAGTGGGGTGCCTCAGCAGGGTCCGAAATAACCCAAGGGACAGGGAGGAATTGATGCTGGAGGAGAGGGGGGGGAGCAGGTCCCTGAGCAGCTGACTGAGGACAGGATCTGGAGCACAGCAGAGGACTTTGTTAGGCGCAGAGTCCTCTCTTGCGGTAGGAAGCGAGGCAGCTGCTTAGTGGTTGGAGGATTTCCACATCTCCTCACTTGACTTTTCAGTGAAGCATGAAGGGAGGTTGTCAGTTGAAGGAAGAGGGTCTGTGGGGAGAGCGCAGAAGGTGTGAAGGATTGGTCCCGGGGAGTCGGAAATCAGAGGCAGCAAGGAACGTGGTAGCATTGCTGTTCTGTGCTCAGGGCCCACTGGACATTCGTTGCCACCCATTTAAAGTGAGGTCTGGTGACATCCTTGTGCATCTCTCTCTCCCCAGCAAGTGAACGGGCTGTATTTTCTCTGTTGGTACAGTGAGGATGAGCATCGTGGCGCCCAGCTCATAGGCCAGTTGTGAGAATTTAAAAAAATTAATGTAACGTGTATGAATAGGTACCTGTTTTGTGTTCAGTAAATGCTAGTCGTTGGTATTAGTTGAGTCAAGCACGGAATAGGAGGATCATGGGCTGGGATTTGCCGGCAGAGAAAGACAAGGGGTTCCTTAGAGCATCTGCAGGAGGGTGTGTGTATTTGGTCAACTCGAATGTAAAGCAGGTAAGGAAATGGACTGTAAATGTGTTTTTGATGAAGCAGAATAATTGTGGTGGTAGAAATAGAGCAAGTCAGCTGGCTAGGTCGGAGATGGTAGTTGGAGATTGTGGTATGACAAGGCCTGGCACTTGACTGTGGGAAGGGCGGCCGGGGTCCAGGGAAGGCCAGGGCTACGGGTGCTCCGGAAGGCAAGCACTGGGAGGGACCAGAGTGTCGGAGGGACCCACTCGTTCTTTCATTGCACGTTTTTGTTGAGCTCATTCTATGCGCCAGGCCCTATTTTAGGTGCTGGGGATTAGTTGGGAACAGAAACAGACCCAAGTCTCCGTCCTTTTTGCGTGATAGCGTATAATCCAGTGCAGGGAATAGAGGATAAAGAAATAACCAAGTAGGGGCGCCTGGGTGGCTCAGCTGGTTGAGCGACTGCCTTCGGCTCGGGTCATGATCCTGGAGTCCCGGGATCGAGTCCCGCATCGGGCTCCCTGCTCAGCGGGGAGTCTGCTTCTTCCTCTGACCCTC